ATTCAACTGTACCTGTGGTGACAGTTATGTTGGGCACACTACTACTAGACAGCTTAGCCAACGTGTTAGTGAACCCCTCCCATCGTGGTTTGCCAAAGGACGGACAAAAACAATCCCTAGCTCAATTTTTTCACATTTAATGGATAGTGGTCATGTAGTGGAGAAAACGAGACCCCTCAAAGTAATTCATCTTATCCCACCGAATCTTTTCAAAAGACTTCGTATTCGTCTACTTCACACACACACGGCTGAGGCGATAGGCATTCGAACTACTAAACCTAAGCTATGCATTCAAAAGAAGTTCGTACAGCCATTGTCCGTCCCTTGTTGGCCTAATATGACATAACAAACTAATGACTTCTACACCAGCCCTTGTTTATATTTTCGGCCCCTTTCTTATCATCCCTTAATCTTTCCTTCCCTTACAATCTAACAATACTTAACCGGTTCACTTGCTTTTACTAGCCTTTATCGACTACTTTCACCTGAACATTTGTTTTTTTAATCATGCTGTTTTTTCATTATTCGAGTTTTTTTTATATATTCACATAGTCATTAGATAAGGTACACTAAAGTGCCTTAGTGACAAACGGAATATTTTGTTTCAGTAGACCTTATTTTATACTGTGTTTTTGAATTCTTTTGTGCTCACCACTAAGCCTAATTGTTGATATCACTTTAGGTGCTGAAGTCTAAATATCCGTCAAAAATATGCCATCAATACATAATGACACGTGGAAAAAAATACCAAACATTTCTGCTGCTACTACTACTACGATTTTGTCTATTCTGCACTACACAACTCACTTATCCAATTTAATTTTGCAAATTATGTAATTATAAATTATCCAGAAAAAACAGTAATAAATCTTGTCCAAAGTTAAGTGTAGTGAAAAAAGGTAAATTTTCTACGAAAACAAAGACGAGAAAAAAACTAAATTTTGGATAAATCAGTGGTGTTTAGGAGAGAAAATATATATAAAATGATTAAAAATTGAATATCAAGTTGGTAGTATTTTACAGTCAGACTTTCGTTTGCAGACATTTGATTAGTTACAGGTTGTTTTGATTGGACACCAGTAACTAGTGTGACGTGTCTAGTCCTTCTTTCGGTGCAGACTGAATTCTATCAGTCAGGTTTTGCACTGCAGCCACCGTTCTAGGTAGCTTGCCGTCGCGGTGCACATTGTTGATGATATTAAGTATTTGAAGGCGATCGGCCACAGGAAGACTTCCAACTTGGTTTCGTGCTAGTTGGAACGCATCAGCAAGGCGTATCTGTCAGCTTGAAGAAATCCATGTCTCTTCTGAGATTCGAACCCACGTCACTAGTTAGTGCTGCAGTTAAAGATGTTGATTGGACACTAGTAACTAGTGTTATACGTCCAGTCTTTTTTTGGTGCAGACTGAATTCTATCGGTCTAGTTACGCACTAGTTACTAGTGTCCAATCAAAGTATCCACTACAGTCCTACGGGAGGTCACTCACAAGCCCGAATAGCTCAGCGGTAACGTCTCTGACTGAAGCACTGACTGGTGACGCGAGTTCGAATCTCAGAAGAGACATAAGTTTTTTGAAGCTCGTAGATACGCCTTGCTAACTGGTGAGTGCCAGCTAGCACGAAACGAAGGTGGAAGTTTTCATGTAGCCGATCGCCTCCGACTACCTAATAGTTACAGGTTGTATCACGAGGTAACATCAGTTAGACAACCACTAGAAAACCAGACAGTACTGTGCTGCTGTTCCACCCCGATCTTTAAGACCCTTCAGCATTATGCACTCACTGAAGTTTGAACACAAGAGCTTCAAGTTACAAGGTGAGCTCATAGACCATTTGTGGACTCCAGTAGTCCAATGGATCTGGTTTCACTGGTAGAATCGTGTATGGGCTCGCCTTGTAACACCAAAGTCCTAGTTTCGGACCGTTCTGGGTGAGTATTCTCTGAAGAGTCTCCGACTAGGACAAAATAGCCATCCATTGATTCTGTGACTGATATCAGCTCATGAGATGTCATAACTTATTCACCCACCTTTCTATGGACTTATATTACAATTGTTCGACTTATGATTTACGAATTTCCTGACACTATTGCAAGTATTTCTTTTGTTACAATGTAGTTAATGAAACTGCGGCACAAAAATAGCATAAGATATACCCTGTCATTTTATCCACCGAATGTGTTATTTGAAGCGTTGAACTGAGTGACACCACACTTCTCTGCATTGTGGCACAGATCTATGAAAGCGACCAATGGTGTTAACTGTGTGTTTAGACTGCGAATCAGACTGATGATTTATAGGGTCCCAATGGCCGTATAGTGGTCTACAAGCTTACCTGATAACCAGAAGGCTCTGGGTTCGAATGGTGGTGTGTGCTCACTGCCTATAAGTCCTAAACTAGGATGAAACAGCTGTACAGTACTCCATCGCTTTTCGATGATTCTCTAGTGAAAGTAAAACGCGATAATTTGTTAATTTACTATAGTTTGGTTTGTAAGGGTCAGATATGTTTTTACGAGTTGATCATGGATTGATATCAGTTAGAAAACCGTGGAGTCCTGGAAAGCTGCCAATTCATCCTAGTTTAGGAATCTAACCCACACAAACCAAACTACGGAAATTAATCTGATGCTCACTAGTGACTTCCTACGGGTTGGAGTTTCCTGGAGTTCTAGTGAGAAGTCGTGACCAATGAGGTCCTTCCAGTCACGTGTGTGGATGGATGTCCTACCAACAACAATGGTTGGGGTTGCGCTAGAGTACTAATCGGTAGAAGTTAGAACTCATGCATTGGCCATAGAATTGGGTCCTAGTGGCTGCATTGGTATACGATTTTGCCTTGTAACCAGAAGGTCCTGGGTTGAAATCCCAGTGAGTGCTTACTGCCGATGGTTCCGAAACTAGGATGAAACAGCTGTCCAGTACTTCCTGGTTTTTAATGGTTCTCTAACTGATATCGATCCGTGATCATTTCGTTAAAATCTGGTAATTTATTTCGCTAGACCTTAGGTGTTACTTTACTTGGGAAGATGAAAATATTTTCGTAGGAAATTACGAATTTTTGCATCACACTATTTATTTATAAGACACGTGAGCGTCACGCTGAAATCACTATGTTTTATTCAGCAAGTCACTCAGTTCCTTAAAGTCTCCTTAATTAGCAGATGATAAGTTTACGTCATATTGCTGCTAGTTTGTGTTTCCTCTTTGTCAAAACATTTATGTTCTTATATATGTCCAAACCGAATTCATTTTAAACACTTTGAAAAATTTGGGTACTGGGTATATGATATTCACTATAATAAAGGTTTTTGTATTTCCCAATGAATGAAAAACAAAACCTATTATTGCTTTTACTGACGTTTCGCTATTTGATGCTAACAGCTTTATCAAAGTATTATTAAACCGGAATTTACAAAATCTCAGCATATTTATAACAAAGAGTTATGGGGTAAGAAAATAGACTACTAAGGTGAACTTAAAAGGACATTTTGAATGTCAATATAACAATGAAGATCACTAAGCCAAATAACAAAGGTAATAGTACGTCTGTTATGATATCAAAACAAAGTCTACTAACTTGATCATCGTTCGTCTGCCTGGAGTCATTTTCCGTTGTCAAGTTGGTCAATTGGTAAAGATAACAAAATCAGGTAGGAATTATTGGATTTGCCCAGTGTGTAACATCATAAAAGTAGTGTGTGTTTACATAATGAAATTGCATATCACATGCGTGTTGATTTTGTCACTTCATGGAGGAGGGGTTCGGGGTGTTGAAACAAGGTCAGATTCTGTTTCAGTCCATCATTCCTGTTCAGACAATGTAGATTCCACTTCATATGGAGTGCTTATGATGATGTTAGACGTTCTTTTTGATATCTGAAATTTTTCTGGATTATTTCAATATTGTCAAATTAATTTTGTGGCCTGATTATTTGGCGTTTAGTTCTATGGCAGATGATTTTTCAAGTTTTTCTAGTTCGATTGGATTACTCGGTGGTCATTTCTTCTGCTTCTGATTTCTCCAGATGTTTGTCCAATGTAGATCGCATCACATTTCAAGCATTTTATTTTATTGACACAATTAGATAGAGAATCTTTCGGGATTTGGTCTATTATATGGTCAACGTTGCTCTTCGTGCGTGTGTCTCGTGTTTTGAAGGAAACTCTAATGTTGAGCTGACTGAATACTGTTCTGATATCATCTGACGTCTCTGCTCTATATGCAATGTCGACTGTTGATGTCCATGTTTTCGGAATACGTTTTGGGCTATACTTAATGCCTGTGTTAATTTCGCTGATGAAGTTCCTTGGGTACATGTTTTGCTTGAGAGTTTCAGTAATGTTCGATATTTCTTCTTCTTTTTCTTTCTTATCCGTTATCAGAGAGTGTGCTCATCTAAGAAGACATGAAATGACTGAAATCTTTCTGCACTGATGGGGTGTGATGATTTGAAGTCTACATATTTATTGGAGTGGGTTTCCTTCCTGAATATGGATAAACTAAAATGTCAGTTTTCCCTCCTCTTAACTAGGCAGGTGGTCTAGAAATGGTCGTTCACCGACGCCTGATTCTGCTTCCAAAGTGAACTGAATTCTGCGAGATAAACAGTTTATTTTCTCCAGGAATGAATTGTGTAGACCTCGTTTTAGTACTGCTTCATACCTTAATCATATTTTAGGAGTGAGTATGCTTGGAAAGATGTTATTTTCGAATTTGTTCATGAAAAGGTTAGAGGCTATTGTGGAGACTGGTGAACCCATAGCAACACCATTTTTTATATATATGCTGAGATTTTGTAAATTCTGGTTTAATAATACTTTGATAAAGCTATTAGAAGCAGCATTAAGTAGCGAAATGTCAGTAAATCCAACAATATCTTTTTCGTATTCATTCATTGAGAAATACAAAAGCATTTATGTTCTTAATTCCTCTTCTGAACATTCCCCTTTATTACATCCGAAAGCTTAATTTCAACATTTTTTTCATACTACTTCAGAATGATAAAAAGAACGGATCATTGTCGAAAAATGACAAGAAGTCTTCAGAAAACCTGGAGATGTCTGCAGTCAATGATAACAATAAGAGTAATTTAACTGATTCAGAACAGAGTTTCAAGATTTCTGCGCAACACCTACAGAAACATAATAATGAATCTACATCCCTCGAAACTGCTCAGGTGGTGGTTGGCAGTAATTGCTCTGAAACAGGAGAAAGCACTGAACAAATCAACGAGTCGGAAAAACAAAACGTTGACAACAATATCAAAAAAGAGAAATTCCCTGATGTAATATCAGCTATCCCGTCAAGAACTCCACCGATTAAACGTAGAAATACAGCACTTGCCATTAAAGCAAAAGCAGCTAGATTAAGACAACCGTTGAATACCTTCTTACCTAAAGGTATGCTTGGACGTCGTGATAAATTAACAGCAGCCTTGTATAAGGCTGGTGAAGTTATTGATCAATCGGAAATGATTACTCAGTCAACGAACAAGAAAGAACTTACAACTTTATATGAATCTGAACACTCACCAACGGAACAAGAGCACAATACTACTACTAGTAATAATCATAAGATTACAACAGATTCACATTTTTCATTATCCATCTCACCGTCAATTTCAACATCACAAAGTTTTAGTGAAGACGGTGAACGTATTAAAAAGTTGTCATCTTCTTCAAATGATGTACACAATCGAGCTGAAATCGCTAACAGTCCATCAGATTGGATTGAATATGTAAAAAATCCTGAAATTAATAAATCTGATGTAGAATTGTCAATGAACGAGGATGTGGATTTTGTATTCAATTTGTTAAAGAATGTACAAACATTTGAATGTCAATTAGCAAATGTAATCAATATGGCTAAGAGTGAATTGAACAAAGATAAAGACTCTGAAGAAGACAAGGTTTCAAGCATAACTAGTGATGGACAGCATGGTACTCCAGTGACAACAACTAATTCGGATCCAGGTAATGCATCCTTTTATGACGTTTATGTATTTCAAAAGATTGATTATCGAACAAAGAATATTCTTTTAGATAACCTCTTCTCCACCAGGTTCTGCGTGACTTGTCTCACCCTGGTGAAGTGAAATTTATTAAGTACGCTGATGATCTATGTATTTCAACGTCTGTAAACTCCCAGATTGACTGTACTAAGATGAACAGCTTTCTATCAGGAATTAGCAAATGGTCTTCATCTAACGGCCTTAAACTAAATCCTTCCAAATATCAGACAGTCAATTTAAGTTTCCGATGTAGGCGAAAGTTAAATAAAGCCGTTAACTTCTATGACCCTTGCAAAATTGATGATAGTGGGGATATAGAAATCAATTCTTAAGTTAAGTATCTTGGAGTAATTCTTTCTTCTGTCCTATCCTGGTTATCTTATGTCTAAGAGATTTCTTAAAGAATATTTCGTCTGACTTTTTGACATTAAGAAGTTAAGGCATTCAGGCATAACACAACCACTCCTCTTGCAGTTTGTCAACTCGTGCATCTTACCCATTCTTCGTTACTGTTCACCCTTACTCTTTCCTGGATTGCTTAAAAAAGACTATGTTGTCTTACGTAGAATTCTGAAGACTGTCAGTAGGGCGAGTGGCAGCTATTCCATTGGGGCCATAACGCTGACATTGTCACTGATAGGCACTTGATGTCATGAAACAAATTTGCCAAAGGAATTTTGTCAGACTGTGAGCATCCACCACAACACCCGCAGCTCCAACCTTGTGACTCCTCAGGTAAAACAAGAAGTCTTTTCAGAAGACTTTATGCACGTACGTCTAAGTATAAAAATTCCACTATACCATGTTTGGCTGCACCTACTTTATGTGATGAAAATAGTGTCAGACATGAACTAACTAACCTTCTTTGCACTAATAAAACGACCATTTCCTCCACCCTTATAATACCAAACTTTATTGTTATTACATTTCATCCTCTCACTTTTTTGTTTTTGTTTTTTTTCTTTCATAAGTGTGAACATAATTTAAGCTGTGTGAATAACTGTTAATTTTGTATTTCCCCTCACCATCCTGCTATATCAGCAGAACATTAGATCCAATAATCTATAACATGCTAAATTTTCCAAACTGAATCGACAATACTGTTTGAAACAAACTCACTGTTATCATCATTATTGCATTTATTATTCTCATTTTGTACTTCGGATACTTCTGACTTTATATCGTAAAGGTAGACGAATTCCTCGGGTTACTTTTATTTATATTTTGAATAAATCACGTGAAAGGTTTTGTGACAAATGCTGAGAATTCCATTCTGTATTTTAAGTAGTGCTGTTTTTGGAACAAAGTAGATTATTATTATTATTATTATTATTATTAATAATATTCACAAAAGGTAACATCGAATCACTAATATCAGAATTCGAAAAGTTATTTGCAAATAGACGGTTCACAGGTTTTGGAATTCTGATGTCAGTTACTTTTAAGAAATACTGATGTTGTCAATAATAGTAATTCTTTCATTTATATGGATGTGCAACTGTAGAACCTGATGAAGCAGAGCCTATCGAAAAGAACATGCTTCGTTCAGTAATAACTCATTTCAATTTTCAGATGGGCAGTTTAAATAACCAGTTTGCATATTTAACAGATTGTTTTTACGAATTATATGACATTTAAATTAATTTTGTTCTCGAATTTTCTGTCTGACACAAACCATCGGAACATAATGATGTCAATTTTCTTTTGGATGTGGTTGTGTTCTCTGAGCTAGCTGAATAGTTAATTTGCAAAGCTTTCATTGCCCCTACTAGGCAACATCTTCAGCGCATACTTCAATTCGAATAGAAGTGAGCTTTAACATTTCTCCACGAGTTTATTAATCATCTCTCCTGGTGACCTTGAACATGATTGGTTGTTTTGTGTGCTCTCACATCCTCTAGGCTACTTGTATTGGAACTAACTGGTTGTTTCCTTGACTTGAACTCTGCCCTTTGTGTGTATGAGAGATTTCCTTCTTATCGATCGGCGAATTTGTTTATCTCGATGTGTCTATTGATTGATGATTCTTTAGACTACCAGGTAGCCTTCTAAAAATTTTCTAGCATTCTTGGTGTTTCCTCTGTCTATTATTTGGACGTTGGTTGTCCCAGTCGAATTGATGTCTGTGGTTGTCTGCATGTGGTGATATGAGTAATGCAGGGGATGTCATTTCTTTTGACGGCTAGCTTATGTTCATGGATATGACGACAGAGGGGATGTCTAATTCGACCAGTATAGTGTTTATCACATTCTTACCAATTTATTTTGTAGATGGTGTTGGTTTTATCTTCTTTCACTGTTGAGTCTTCTGGTTGACACAGAGCTGAATGAAGTGATTTTTTGGTTTGTGTGAGACATCGATTCCTAAAGGTTTGAAGAGTCCTGGGGTGGTTTATGAAATGTCCTTTATATATGGTAGGGCTTTTCCTTCTGATTTCCTTGGGGGCCTTTGATTTGATAGGTTGACTTGGAGAGATTATGTCTTTTGATGAAATTCCGCAGATATCTATTCTTTTGGAAGACGTCCATGTGATATCTTTCTTCAATTTCCGTTAAGGTGGGAGTGCTGTAATGAGTCCTGGCCCTTTTGAATAGTGTTTGTGCGTCGGTAGCACAGTGGTTAGGACTCTCGCCTACCATGAACATGATCCGAGGTTCGATCCCTTGCTGACGCACACCTGATATCTATGGTAGGCCTGCGAAATTGGGCTACCCATATCATACGCTGAAAATTCCATACTTGTACCAAAACTACAGTGTGGAATCAAGTTGTAATCAAAAAGACCTTTTGTTTGTTATTAAATTGTTGCTGTTGTAATTCAGTATTTGGTCTGTGTGAGTTGAGTTTCTAATTCTTCTGTGGTTGTTCACTTGACTAAGACGTCCAATAGTGGAATTTTGTTCGTGGATTCCTCTTCTCTTGTGCATTGGATGTCGGTGAATGTGTTGTTTGAGTGTGATCCAGCTCATTTCTTTTGATTATTACGAAGGTGTCATGTACGTAACGTATTGAAATTTTTTCGGTTCAATCTTTGGTAGGATTATGTTTTCGAGTCTTTGCATCGCTGTTTCTGCAATTAAACCTGATATTGGCGATCCCATGGGTGTTCCTTTAACTTGTTGTGTAATGAGAACCATTAACAGTTCAATATTGGACCATTTGGTCCAAACCGACCACAAAGCCAGCTAGCATGGAAGAATCCTCCTCTATCATCTACCGGGTGCCTAATAAATTGCCGAAATCATCGAAGCACCACATGCTCCAAACAGCAGAGACTATTGCGATTTTTGCGAAACAAACAGTGCTCTGTGTTCAAAAAAAGCAAGTTCAGCCCCTACTCCTGCCTTGGCCTTCAGTGGAGACTACAAATTTTATCAAATTACATCGTTATCTTTCCTAATTTTTCTGAAATTCAGTTTATTGTTATGTTGATGCTATTGAGCTGTAATCTATCAATATTATTGATTCATTGTTATTTAAACAACATAATGTTGTTCATGACACTAATTCATTCATTCACTATAAGAGTATTCTTTTTTCAGCATCCATTCTATTGAAAATTTTAATGGGCATTTTTAATCATTTAGAATATCTTTTATATTGAAAGCAAAGTTGATCTTAAAGGTTTTGTCGTTTGTATTTCTTTTTTGTGCTTTAGTAAACAATGACGAACTGCTGACAGGCATTGGTCATGCACAAATGTTAATATCTGGGAATCTTACAACCTTGCGTAAATTGTGCAAAGTCTACTTAGAAGCAAATTCACAAGTAAAGAAACGTCAGTCAATTGATTACATTCCATTGAGAAGTGATTTAGAAGGCTATTGGGATTTAATTTTAATACAATATCGACGTTTTGAATCACAATTTCCACATTTATGTGACTGGATTTCAAAAGATTTTCGTAATGATTTACAGAATTTCGTCGAGAAATCTGTTGGTTATCAATTTGTGCAAATATCTGAAGTTGAAAGTTCTAAACAGTTGGATAATGAGACTACAAGAAGTCCTAGGAAGGAGTTAAACATAGCCGCCTCTAAAAGTGTAAGTTATTATAATCTCTGGTTGCAGATTGTCTTATATATTTGTACAAAATCGAACATGAAAAATACTCATACTGCTGGAGTCTGATAAATCCCATATAAATTTTATGGGCACAAATCTTTGTTTTTTCTGCTTTCTTATTCCTTCACTTTCTCCAGTGGAACATAGGGCTTCAAGCTAGTGGCTTGAAGTTTCTGTAGCGGCGTTTATTTTACAGGATGGAGTTGCTAGTCTCATGCCCAAATTTTTCTGGTTAACAAACATTATTTCTTGCTTAGCGAGGTAAAAGAATGCGTCCAGTGGCCGGAAATTGAATCCTGGACCATGTGCATGGTCGGCGATAGTCCTAACCGCTATGCCACCGACGCACCTCTTTTTCTGTAGATGAACCTAATTTTATTTTTGAAGCAAATAAACGAATACAATGCATAATTGCAACACAGATTCCTTCAAAAATTTACAATAAAATTCATCAAAATTGAAAATATGCGTTTAATCAGTATAATAAATCACATCGGGGAAAACTCCGGTTGCTTGATTTTCTTCACAAACTAACACCACCCTAGAGATTATTGAAAACCAGACAGTAGTGAACAGCAATTTCGTCCCGTTTCAGGCTTTATCATCAGTGTGCGCCTACAACCTCGTCAGGGATCGAACCTGGAACCTTCAGATCACGAGATGTAACTTCTGTCCCAGGTCGCTGAATGTTCGGTGAGCTTGATCTCGTGAATTTAAGTTCCCAGGTTCAATCCCTGGTGGAGTCGAACTGGCACACACTAGTGGTAAGACCTGAAATGAAATGAAACAGATATCCGGCGCTCCTTGATTTTTTTCAATGATCTCTAATAAGTGTTATTTCTCCAAGAAAGTCTAACAGCTAAAATTCGAAGTGCTCATAAAACCTATAATCTGAAAATCAATAAAGTTATCATCCCGAACTGGCTAGCAGCAAAACTTAAGAAGCGAATTCCGTTCAGTCTGGATACGCTTGCGTTTTATTAAGTATTGATTTTGTCACTGAAACACGAACTCAGTACCTATACGTCCAAGAAAACGTGACACACTAGGTCGAAAGTTCCATCCAATATGCAGCGTCCAGTGGTTCTGCTGCCAACAGAATCACCAAACATGTGAATCGCATCAAAAAGAGGCTAACCAATTTTGTGAAATGCATCAATAAGAAATCAAAAACATAAATCAATGCAAGAAAATATACTCTACTGACGGCAGAAAGCTCTGCGGTCACGCGAAAGTTCTCAGGAGATGCACTTCTAGCTCTCTTCAAGTTTTCTAGGAAGCAGTAGGCGTAAAGAAAAGGAAGAAATTCAGCCTGCGTAGACAACAAACCTTCTTAAACTTCAAACCCTGAGAACATATGTTGAACCCGGGACTGAAGCAATTGAAAAATCTCGTATACTACTGATTGGTGTGAGCAGTTTGAAGACCACCCACTAGATAGCGCCTCCATTTTATACGGAAAATCAGATGGCCAACTAATAAGGATTAGCAACCAGAAACTTGAGTATCGCATATGCCCAAGGGATAGAGATGGATTGAACACGCTATGCGAAAACCGTTAAATGAAATAATGCGTGAGGATGTCACTCAAATAGAACCCAGATGGGAAACATAAGGTTAAGTGTTAATCCAAGGGTGACATGGAGGATACCGTGTGGAGAGGAGATAGAATATTATGGAGCCAAGGAGGATGAAATGTCGATGTATTTTGTTAAAACCCTACGTTCCACTGGTAACCCAAAGGAACAATAATAATAATAACAAAGGAGTTTCGGCAAAACTGTCATCAGCTTCAACCGTTATACAAGAATGAATAATTTCTTAGTCAAATGTTTAAGTATTTGTTATTCATAGCGTAACTAAAGGTGAAACTAACGAGGATATTAAAGCAAGGATCTTGAAGGCAAGGCAAGCTTCATTACTCTCAAGTCTGTGAGAAGGTTAACAGCAATCAGCATGAAAAACAAGATCCGGATTTTCAACTCCAGTGTGAAGTCAGTGCTACTATACGGATCAGAGACTTGACCAGCACATCCTTAAGACCACTTCCAACAAACTACACACCTTCATCAATAGCTGTCTTCGCTCAATACTTCTCTCAAAATCAGATAGCCTGCCAGAGATGATCAGCAACAGGGATCTCAGGCAATGACGAACCAACCAGGAACCGACTGTGCAACAGGAAGCAGGAAGAGTTGATCGTCAATGAGAGGGTGACTGGGAGGCGGTAATGCGAGGAGGAGATGAAAGCATGTGGGCAGACGTGATGCCTGAGTTCTATTTCCCGTGTGAAGTGGTATAATAAGTTGAGCAATATTGAGGTTAGGCGTCGAGTGCTAGGTAAGCAGGGGTTTCAATCGACGAGGTTGTGAAGTTACATCGACTGAGATGATTGTGACATGTGTTACGTATACCTAGTCATCGCCTTCCTCGACGAGCAGTGTTAGCTGATATAGAGTCAGGCTGGAAAAGAGCCAGTGGCGGTCAAACCAAAACATGGCTTCACTAGTCAATGAAATCTACAACAGTTAGTCTTAGCCACATAGGAAGGTGTAGACTTCATGGTTGGGTTCTTCGGGACGGTAAACACCAATAATGGCTGGAGACAATTGGTGATATGGCTCAAAGTGATTGTTCTCAATGGTTGGGTGGCGCAGATGCATCCACTTCTTGTGACTCATGATTTCCAATGAAACTCTATATTGTTGTTCGATATGACTATTCCTTTGTCTCACACCTCTGTTTTATGTCTCTATTATACATTTCTTCTACTTTATTCTGTTGCTTTGTGTGCTACATGGAGATAGTGTGCCGACTTGAACTTCCGCATATCGGTGCAAAGTTCTGTGTGGAAAACAGACAGACAGACAGGGCAGATGTTGGGCCAGGTGAAAACATTGGGAGAGAACCGAACTCAATGGATACGTTCGGCTGAAGCCCTAAGAACCTCTAGTAACTAAAGGAAGCAATAATAATAATAATGTAAATCTCTTATATCCTTTTCATTTTGTAATGGATAAAATATACATAAACATTATGAAGAATATGCTTACTGCATTGAAATCGTTCACTCTTTTAGGTTATGGAAATAAGCTTCGAAGTTTCAATTGCGGTTGCGTTGTTTTTTTTTACAGGGTGATTTTATCATCCTCAAACCTTCAAAATTTCCTTTTTACTGAGCTTGCCTATCCTCTAGACAAAGTTTCAAAGTGCGTTGGCTGGGAATCGAATCCTGAACCATGTACGTGTAGCTGGTGGGCATCCTACCCTTAAACTAGTTTACATTGTGACTTTTTTATTTTATTTATTTTCTTGAAGATATATGGTAAGCATTTCATGGACTATTTGTACATTTTTTATTGCTCTTGTTTTTGTTTATTTTTGTAATATTAACGAATAATTCTATTCTGCGATTGCTTATCAAACACTCGTTTACGCTTACTCATTTTATTTCCAATGATCTTTAGCAAAAGCAATCTCCTGGAAAACACACTAACTCAAATAAAACCACTCAATTGCGTAATGCTGCCCGTGATCGAATTGCCAATGCTCGTAAAAAAATGAAAGAGAAATCACAACATAGTGAAGTTGACGCCAACGCTAATGATAAGATTGAAAGTGAATCAACCGATGTTAAGACTAGTGGAAATTCTCTATTTTATACTATTGAATAACAGTAATAGTAACAATAATAATACTGCTACTAATGATAATAGTCGTAGTAGTATGATTAACGGTGTAACTACTTCAGTGTATGTATGTATGTATGTATGTATGTATATATGTGTGTATACATATTGCCTTCAAATGATTCTCCTTCTTCCAGGATTCTAGTGTTCAGTAACACTGGCTATATATACATATTTATTGTCCTGTAAATGTTGGGTATTTTCAATGTACAGTATATATTTTTATACTTGTAGATACTTCCAAACTTTAACTTTTGCTCATTACCACTCTTTTTTTTCCAATCCCTAAGAATTCAAGTGAGTACATAACTTAACTGTTTAACTTAAATTTACTCACTAACAAACGTTAACTGCATATCCCATTTATTCCCAGCGATTTGAAAAGAGAAACGCAAAAGTCCCTCATAGTGATGATTGCCTTCCTTGCGCCTTCCTTTACACACTTACTTACTTACTTACTTACCTATCTGTGAATGCTTTTTCCTTCTCCTTCGTCGTCGTCTTCCGTTGTAGTGGACATGGAGAGGGGTAGGAGCAAAAGGAGGAGGTGATGGGAGGGGCGCCGAATTTTAGTCTTTGTACACTTTACTGCCTTGTATATTTTCAAGTTTTATTGTTTATTTTGATTTTTCCCTTGGTCTTTTATTTGGTTTATATATTTTAACTTATTTCTTTCTTTATTTATTTTTGTCTTTTTTGAATGACAGAAATGTATGGCAAAGTGAAATCTATCTTAATAATATTAATAATACTAGTAGTAGTAATAATAATAGTAATGATAATAATAATAATTTCTATTGATTTAAAGGGTGAACCATTATGAAGAAATTAAATGAAGTAGATAGAATGTATGATAGAAAAGCAAGCAATGAATACTCTTCATCTCCTGTTTTATCTTTGTTATTATTATTATTATTTTTGGTTATGTTTTGTTCAATCTTTTACTGAGAAAAAAAAAATAATAAACTTTTATTCATTGGAAGTGATTGTGTTTTTTTGTTTCAAGTTTGGCTAGGGATTGAATATATCTCAGTTAGTTAAAGAACCACCATTTGAAAACCAGCAAGGTGTTGGCCGATAGCTCTTTCATCCTACATTAAGCGCAGTACGAAATAATAATAATAATTTGCTTTATTCAAAAACAGTACTTGTGATACAGAATGGAATTCTCAGCATACTTACTGGCGTAAGCGGTAACAAAAAGGTCGGGAAATACAGAGTGTGAAAGAACGAAGAAGAATGATTTAAATAGAGTTTGTAAGGAAGACTAAAACAAAGGAGCACATAACAGAGAAAAAAGGAGAGAGAGAGAAAAGGAAAAGAAAGAAAGGAAACGTTCTACCTATAAATGATATGAGTTGAAAAGACGAGATTCAGTTGTTCTACTGACTATTTAATAGGTTATAGATACCACGCATAATGCTCCCTTTATTGCATAGAACACGAACAAGCCAAGTACGGTATGGTTGAGTTTTTGTACTTGCTAGTGCGAGCATATAGTTTTATATATAGGCTTCTGGATCTGCCTGATGAGATGGATACAAGGGGGGGGAGAGTTGTGAATGAAGAGGGTGGTGTGAGTTAGATAGATAGAATGGATTTAGCCTATTTTTCACGTGAGTCCCTGTGCCTGTCGACCAGAATATTAACAAGCTGGTTAAGTGGCACCCTGTGGCTTACTTTGTTGACAACCTTTAACATCCTGCGTAATAAGGTATAGTTTTTCTTCAGTAGCCCCGGATTTACTAAGGGGGAACAATAGAGAATAATAGGAAGGATGCGAGAGTTAACGAATCGTATGAGTAAGGGTTGTGTTATTCCAGAATGGTTCAACTCCTTGATGTAGAAGGTAAGACGAAATATTTTCTTAGAAATCATCAAGATAAGACACGGCCAGGAAATATCATCAGATAGAATGACACCAAGATATTTTATTTCTGACTTGGTTTCTATTTCAGTGCCATGTATTTTGCACATCACGTGAGTGGTAACCAGTTTGTTTGGGTCAGATTTATGCCCTGAATGTGAAATTGACTGTTTGGCATCTGTAGGGATTTAAGGTTAGATAGTTTTCCTTGGACCACTGGCTGATTTCTGATAAAAAGCCGTTTAGTTTGGAGTAGCCACTTTGACATTTGACGTCCACTGGGATTCAAATGTAAAGCCTTCTGGCTTCAAGTCCAGATAGTAGGCCATTCAGCCAACGGAGAACTGGTTCATCAGTAAACCTTGAATTCCAACTCCTACGGATTGATGATTTTAACGAGTATTTCCACTCAATTCTGACTTGGTGAACCCCATTTGGTCATAAATTTTCACTAGAATAGTAGGTAAATTCATTGTGTTGCCAGTCAGCAGTGAGCATCAGAGGGATGCTCAAGCGTAATTTTTGTTGGGATTTGATGATCGGAACTTTCGAAAGACACTTGAGTTTATTTGACAGCTGTTCTCTACTAATTTAGAAATGACAGTAACTCAAGCTTGAATTGAGAATGTATATTTCATAAGCTGAAAGAATTGTTGCCTCCCAGATTACTTATATACAAATTTCATAGAGGAATTCCCCTTTACATGTTTGAAAAGAAATAGAATTAACATTGGCGCAGAATAAGACATCGATCCATTGAATTTCCTCGGTTCTCGTTAGGTGCTTATAGTGTAAAATACAAGTTAGAATAATAATTTTATCGTCGTGAATAAGTCTCCCAGTAATAGCTGTTGAAATGCAGTCACAGGGTAGCAAAGCATAATGACCATAAGGTCATCTTAAATGACTAAGATACATGTATACACGTATATAGATAATGAGCCTTAGAATTTCTGTTAAAAGGTTGACAACTTTATTGTCAGAGTGGTGGAAATTCAGTAATAATTGCTCAATCAGCGATCTAATCTAATTCTGTTTGGTATATTTGCAAAAGAGCTGACATCGGGCCATTTCACTGTTCTCCACGGTGAAACTGCTGCTGGCGTCTACACGGGAACTGATTAACACAGTTGAAGGCAACATAGGACGAAGTCAAGTCGATTTTTAGCTCTGTCATCTACCTGAATATTCATTTTCACTGAAAGGGATAATAAGACATTCAGGGGGAAAGAGAATTCTTGATTTCATTTTACAACAGAATATAAGATGTGGACTAGGTGCCTATTTAATATGTTCGCCTATAGGGAAGTAATAATAATAATAATCTACTTTATTCCAAAAACAGCACTACTTATAATACAGAATGGAATTCTCACCAGTTGACACAATATTGCATCTGATTTACTTAAGATAAAAAAAAAAAAAGGATCAAAAATAAGATAAATAATAATAATAAATAATTAATTATTAATAAAAAAAAAATTTAAAACTTTAATTTAAAAATATTAATTAAAAAAGACCCAAAAAAAATTAAAAATTACCATTTTTTATTTTTTTTATTGTCTTTTATTATAATTTAAAAAATTAATTACGTTTTTTAAATGTTGATTATTACATTCTTTTTTACGCAGTATTTTTGAATCGTTATTAATTTAATTAATGCTTTTTTGCTATTATGCCTGTTGCACAGATGGCACAGAAATTGAAACTAAGTCAAGCAATAAATACCTTGAACTAGTTCTTTCCTCTGACCTTTCATGGTCATCCCACATCTTATCTATCTCTGAGAAAATGTTTCGTCTTACCTTCTACATTAAAAAATTAAGACAATCAGGTATCAATCAACCTTTAGTTTTGAAAGTTTTAAACTCCTATGTTTTACCTATTGTACTCTATTGCTCTCCATTAATCTTTCCTGGGCTTCTCAAAAAAGATTATATCATATTACGAAGAGTATTAAATGCTGTGAGTAGGGCTTGTGGTATGTGACTGCGTGAGATCGCCAATATTATAGTCAAGAGACATATAACATCTTGTAAAAAATGAGAAGAGGTCGTACTATCTGACATCCTCCACCCTCTTTATTCACAATTATCCCTTTGCATCTCATCAGATAGGATGAGAAGTCAATATAAGAAGTTATATGCTCGTACCACTAAGTAAAAAAATTCTACAATACCCTATTTAGCCCGTACTTTATGTGATGAAGACACTGTTAGACGTGAAACATATAAGTTACTATGCAATTAGCAAAGTGAATTGACCCTTTCATTGTTCATTTTTCTGTAATACTATGGTGTCACCCTTTCTATCGTTTAATTATAACTTTGCTATTTTATTTTAGTTGTTATTATTTTCCTCCGTATTGCATACAGTAATTTGCTACATAGATTATATAAGAACGTTTTGTTATTATTAATATTATGTAATGTTTATATATTTTTTGTCGTTTTTGAGTAAATTAGATGCAATATTGTACTGAATGCTGAAAATTCCTTGGTGTATCATTAGTACCTTTTTTTGGGATAAAGCAAAATTATTATTATCATCATTCAAATTTTGTTATTTCTTGAATTTCCAGTTTGTTTAATTCTTTTGAAAGTAAGGCGATTATAAAGTTGAAAATCCACTACCAGGTACAGGTTGGCAAAGTTGAAATATGTCAGGGTTATAACTTCTAACGCCAAAGATGTTAATTGTTTAGGCACCCGTGAAAAAAACTCAGTAGTTATACAAAATATGAAAACAAAAATCCACAAAAGTATGAGACACAGTTCAGCAGTAGGATATTTACCGAACATGCTCCATATGGTCCGACGCTGAGTTCCCGACTGACGCAATCCTAAGCCTCGTTCAGCCGGTAGTAAGCTCAGTAAAGATGCAGGCTAAGCTCGAGGTTAACAGTCTCAACGTAAGAAAAAATCCCGTTGCTAACTAAACATCAACTCTCAAATTGAAGATTTATATTCCAAATTGATTATTATATTATTACTTCCTTCAATTCCTAGAGGGACGTAGGGCTTCAGCTGCGCGTCTCCATTGCGTTTGGTTTTCTGCCAACGTTTTCACCTTGTACTAGGTCTGCCCACATGTTTTCATCTCCTCTTAACATCATATC